ATACAAGAAAGGAAGAAGTTAAATTGTAGAGGGCTTGTATGTGAGCTAGAGAATTTGGAAGTTAATTCTATGTATGAGGAAGATCCTTCCAGGGGTTTTGGGCAGGGGAGAAACATGATCAGCTCAAGATAATGCTTATTGCCCTTGATAGCTTTCTCGGGCATCTCCACTGCTTTGCATAGTGCACTTGTTGGGTGCAAATAAACATGTTAAATGATTGGACATGAGGTGAATAGACTAGAGGTTGAATTATCAGGTTATTGTAATTGTTCGAGAAGAGGGCAGATGTAATCAACACTTCGGAGGTGAAAATGACTGTCTTTGATAGCTGGATTTGGGGATATGGGAAAGGGAAAGAGTTGAAGAAGGCTGACTTTGACTCTGCTCCACCAGGAAGATGGTGATATTGGGAACAGGGTGCATGCAGGAGGAATAGATCAATGGTTTGGGGAGAATAGGAATAAGGAAAGATTCTCAATTTTGTTTTGGATTATGTTGTGTTTAAAGTGCTGGTAGGTTCTAGTAAAAAGATTTTCAAGTCTAGAGCATTCACAAGCCCACTTTTCTCTAAGGGGGTATCATGTTCATATACCTGACTTCATCCATTGTTTGATACAGATTTGTACTAATTTAGTTTGATATTTTCCTTCCATTGCCTTAAAATTGTGAAGTACCTTATTGACTTAGTACCCTATGCAAGAGCTACCTGCCGGAGAAAGAGAAGGGAAAATTACATTAAGTGGTTGGAGGTGAGGTGATCTGATTTTCATGCATTAAACCGGGCAAACTTTACCTTCCATCTTCATTAATTGGAGTATGGATAGAGAAAAACATTTTAAAGGACAGAGCCTGGATTTAGAAATCAGGCAGTAAAGGAAACATATGCATATATATAAACTACTTATAATTGAAAAAATACTAAGCCACAGAACCAGAGGTGACGTGCGTGCTACTTTATTGACCACTCCTCTGATTGAGGCTTTTACATTGCCAGAACCACTGCAAGCTAAGTTTTTAGAGTCCTGCTGATAGTCTGAATTATAAGGGATTCCTTCCTTCCTTCCCATGCGCTATTTTGAGCTGTGTACTCTGGGGAGCAGATACGCTCCCTGAGTTTGTTGGTCCAGCACACGGTGGTTTCCTTCCCCCTCTTTTCCCTTCACGGCAAACTTCCTCACCGGCCCCCCCCCCCCGCCCAAACACACACACTGTAGATATCCTGAACTCTCTCCATCCAGGCTTCCCTGTCCCACATAGGCTGGAGCTGTGCTAATCCCCGCCGGCGTGGCGCCTCCCCCAACCCCATCCTGGCGGGGGCACGTGCCCTAGGGACGGTTGGAGCAAACACCAACGGTCCCTTTTGTCCAGTAGGCGCGCAGGGGCGGGGCGGGCTGGCGCGCAGCGCTGGGGGCGCGAGCGGGGCGCGCGGGCGCGGGAGGCGGGGGCGCGAGCCGGGCGGACGGGCTGGCGGGCGCGGGAGGCGGGGGCGCGAGCCGGGCGGACCGGCTGGCTGGCGCGGGAGGAGCCGCGGCCCGCGGGGCGCGAGAAGTGACCGTTGGAGTCGGGGATGGGGAGCCCTCCGGTTTGCGTTTCTGGAAAGGCAACTGAATACAGTGAAGTAGAAAAAGCAAGTTGCAGAATGATAAGTATAATATCCCATGTGTGTAGAAAGATTCACAGCGCCAAACCACGTGTACACACGTATGTATGTAAACGCATTGAAAAAGGTCTGACAAAGCTCTGGGGGAAGGAGTAGGCTGGGAGAGTGGATGCAGGGAGCTTACTTTGTACATTGTATATTTCTGAGATATTTAATATTATTATTATTTAGAACGAAAATGTAATCATGTAATTGAAAAAAATCTGCGTTTGGGAAGCTTGGATATCCTCTTCTCGTCGGTAGGGACCTGCTCAGACTCTCAGAGCCCCGGCAAGATATGAGTCAAGAACAGCCTTTTCACAAGAAACCCACCCTTTCCCCTTCCTCGCTGCTCCACCTCGTCTCCCCCTCACTTGCTCCAAATCCTTGGAATTGGCCTTTGCGGAAGAGTCTTCCTCACAGCCTTTCTCATTATTACAAATTTACCTGCAAAACCCATTCTCAAAGAGGAAACGTTTTGGCGATAGTAAATTGCTCACAGGCACCTGAACATTTGAGTTAGACATTACTTTCAAGCCATGTTTGGTAAAAATTAAGATAAAATGTTTACAGGATGTTTCTATTTTCTCCTAAACAGTTGTACCCTAGTGTTTCTATTTGTATGACCACATGATGTTAAATTTTTTTTCATTTTGAAATAATTTGACTTAGAAAAAAGTTACAAAAATGGTATAGAGTTCCATCATATCCTTTAGCTAGTTTCCCCAAATGTTAACGTTTAACATAACCGTAGTACAATGATCATAACTAGGAAATTAGCATTACTGCTACTACTACTCGTAACTAGGAAATTAGCATTACTACTCAAATTTCTATTATTATCCAACAAATGTCCTTTTTTTCTGGTCCAGGATTCAATCCAAGATCTCACAATGCATTTAATTCTCATGTCTACTTAGTTTCTTCTGATCTGTGACTGTTTCTCAGTCTTTCTTTTTTCATGACTGGCACTTCTGAAGAGTGCTATTGGCCAATTATTTTGTGAACGTCCTTCAATTTGAATTTGTTTCCTATTTTCTCACTATTAAACTTAGGTTACGCATTTTTGACAAAAAATATCACAGAAGTAATGTTGAGCCCTTCCCAGTGCATCATATCAGGAGGCACCTGATGTCAGTGTGTCATTAATGGTGACAATTGATTACTTGGTTAATGTGGTATCTGCCAGGTTTGTCCAATGAAAAGTTGTGATTTTTCTTTTTATGTTTAATCATAGGAGGCAAACATCTTCATCATATGCACACCACTTTTAGCATTCTTGAATCTTGACTGCAACAGTTAGTACTGTGGTGTTTGCCAAATGGTGATTTTTCTGTTTCCATCATTCTGATGTTAAATTTCAATCCAAATATTTAAATGAACCATAACTTTTTAAAGGAAGATATTTGACTAATACTTTTCTACTTTACACTAGGAGAAAAAAAGGCATTTGGAGCCTGTGTGATATGCTGTGAAATAGTGGCTAAAATGGAATTTATGACTGTACTAACAGATAACTGAATTCTAAATGAAGAATTCACTATTCTTAGTACTTGTAAGAACTTGGATTATAAAATGCCAATTTACATGGATTTACAAGCTCATTAATTCAATTGGTTTGTACCCATTCTTATAAATGGGTAAATGTAAAACGGTATTTAAAAATAGAAGAAAGACAAAAGTTTTTAGTATTATTTCCAATGTATTGCTAATTTTAGTTGGCATTTGCAAAACTGATCCCTTAGCAATACATCTGACTCTCATCTAATGATATTTCACTTTGTTTAGCCTCCATGTTTGCTGAAAGGATTTACTGGAAGTTGGAATGGGTACTCCTTTGAATGCACTGCAAGGAAAGTAGAATTCTTGTGGGTGAGGTCTTTTAATCTGAGGGTTATTTGACTACTAAGCATTGTGATAAATCTCATCTGAAGATTAAGTTACCTTGTGCAGCATTTCCCCTAACCTTTATCATGGTAGATGGAAAACTGGTCTAAGATTGGGCCTTAGCCTTGATGCCAGTTTTTCTTGCCTTCAGTATGAAGGAAAGAAGGAGAGTGAGTGTAGATTTTTTCTTTAAATCACTGACCTTTTTGAGTATCTGAAATCTATGAACCCTTTCCCCAGTAAAATAGACAAACCCACATGTTGCATTAGAGTAAAAACAATCCAATGTGAAATGGGGGTGGGGTGGGGGGTTGGGGTGGGCGC